TAGTGTCAGGATTATGAAGTTAGGCTGATGCTTGTAATTCTCTTAAAGGCTAATTAATTTTGTTTTATTCCATGGCTTTAAATGGTATTCTATTGCAAAGGCATAGTCAGTGAGCTCAGGTGGCTAGAGGGGCAAGACTTATGACAATAGTAAAAGAAGTCAGAAACTCCTGAGTGCATGTCCTGCTAGACTGGGAACAGAATGGTAGAGCTTCCATATGACGACGGTGGGTGCTCAAGGGTCTGTTTCCCACAGTCAGTATGTTAGTTATGCTTCTCCTCCACTTCCACAGCTGTGCACCACTTTAAGCATATTTAATGCATAAAAGCCAGATTTAGAAAATAATTGAGTGAGGGAATGTATTTTTTAGTCCAGAAACTTCTTTACAGGACATGGGAATTTCTTTAAATAACAAGATACCATGTAGACTAGTATAACTCCCACAATCATATAAATTATATGTATATATATATATATATATATATATATATATATACACACACATATATATTACATGTATGCAATATGTATTAACTTGCATGCCTTTTCTAGACAGTGAGGTATTATTGTAATTATGTTCAATATCTGAAGATTGCATTGTTCTATTTTTGAAATGCTTGAATTCATAACTATTGGTAGAAATTAAACCACTTGCTAAATTCCTTAGATTTTTTTTGTAGTTAAGGGAAGACATTCATTTTTCAGAATCAAAACAGTCAATTATAAAACTATTTCAGCTTTTTTCATTTACAGAAGTTAGAGTCATAATGCACATTTAATTGATTTTACACAATCAAAGCTGGTTTACTAATAAGACAACTTGTCACTTTTTGCTTATTAATATTTTTTTTGTAATCATAATTAGTGACAGTAAAATAACCCTTAAATTTAACCAAAAAAAATTATCAATAAGCAGCAGTTTCACTCTTAAAGTTCATGCTTTTCTGGTTTCATCAGTACCATTAAAATACATTTAATTTTATAAGGAACTGTAGAAGATAAGCCTAAAACCCCAACTTTTTACACTGCCTCATGAGATGACGGTAACCCTGACTGAAACCTTTCAGTTCTCAGAGTCAGCTCAGGAGTCTGATTCGGGCAGCAGATGCTTTGAGAGAAGAGTGGGAGTAGACAGCTCACTCCTTCCCTACTCCTCAGCACCTCTCACAGGAGCCTGGCAGGAGTGTACTAGAGTCCTACTTGCTTCTTACTAGGTTTTCTGAATGTTTTACAACCAATATTCCAGCCTGTTGCTGCTTACCTCTCCTAGAATCTTCTCTTCCACCAACAGCTGACCCTTATTTAAGAAACTAGGTAATATAGAAGACAAATTTAAAGTATCAGTTTTAACCTGGTTCATGCACCCTCATCTCTAATTCTCTTTGCTAATTATATGACCATTAGGTTGGAGCATTATCTGAGATAGCAAAACAAAATTAATTGTTAGGGATCGACTCTATGTATAGTCTGCTTATGTTTCTTCATCTTGTTAGGCTACAGTTTCAGACTACAGTTTATAATTTTATACATATATAGTTTGATATGTATATATATATCATTTTCTGAAAGTATATTTAAGCTCCATATTTAGCAATGAAGTCAAAAAGCAACAAAAGTCTATCTCATTTCTTTAAGTTCAAAAGAGTCACATGATATAAAAAGAAACTTGTGTGGGTAAAGAAAGAACAGAAATACTGACCTAAGTCAGGATTCTTGAGAGCACTATTTAATAATCTGCATTGGATTAAAAAAAAAAAAGTGAATTATGGGTCCTCCCTGGGGCACAGCAGATTAAAGCACACTTTAAGTTAAAGCCACTTCAGCATGAGTTCGATCCCACCCTGGAGGTGACCTACATGATGCGGCAGACCTCTCCTGACCCTCCTGCTGCTCCCCTCAGCAGTGTACTTCATCACTTGGACTGTTCTGCTCCCCAATCTGTCTCTGATGAATCCTCTCACTGCACCTGTGCCTCTGGCCTTTACCCCAGTTCTATATGCATAAATAAATAAATAAATCTTTTTAAAAATGAATCATTAAAAATGAGGCTGTAAAAAAAAGGGAGAGAGAGGCTATATGCAGAAAGCTCATGGTCCTGAGTGTGAAGCAAGTGTACTGGACCTAACACTGAAAATTACTCATGTTAATTTTGACATTACAGGTAATACCCATTTAATGTAAAACGAATCCGTGGATTTTCAGTATGAACACTATCAAGTTAGCTGTAATGTTTCTTTAGTACTACACCCTGTCCCTCTCCCACAACAGTCTGAGTAGGGACAAGTTCTGCCACCCCAAGTGGATCTGGTGAGACATACATCGTTTAGACCATGCTAGTCATCTTGTTCAATCCTTAGGAGAAACCTAGCTTAATTAATCATTGGCATAATGAGTGCTTAAAATCCAGATTCCAAAATTACATATTGTAAAATGTCGCTTATTCTGAAATCACTAAAATTACAGCTTTAAACTCAAGTTTTTGTATTTATTGGGAAGCATGCATTATATCCCTAAAGTAAAGCATAAACCTTTACTTTTTATTATTCACACTTCCTAGGAGATAGACAAGTGGCGAAGAAAATTTAGACAGAGCAGTTCAATGACTTTCACAATGTAAATCTGTAATAACTCCCCATACCACTTCCACTTACATCAAAGTAATGCTTTCAACAGCCTAATGATTAAAATATAGATATAGATTTTGAGCAGTAATGGGATTAATGTTAGTAATAGCTTTTTTTATTTGAATCATTTGATTAGATTCATGAGTTTAATATTACATTAAAATTTATAGATATATTTGAAGTAGTAATTCATAAGACTTTAATTATATAGATTGCTTTACTTTGCACATTCTATTTTGCCTCTTGATGTTAAAATGTGGATTATTTTAAAATAAAATAATTTTCAGGGTCTCAAATGCTTAAAGATTATTGGCATAAAATACTGTTTTATGTCGATTAGGGTTGCTTTTCATATGATGTCAGTAATGTTAATACCCCATTATTAGACAGTGCAACTTGGTAATTAATTGTGATCTCACTATCTTGGAGCATTTTGTTTCAAGTAATGTCATATGACACCCACAATTGTCATCTGCTAATGAATTTCCCAGTAAAGTGAATCAAAAGTCTAGTATGTGTTTTATCATACAAACAACTCACCCATCTTGTGTTTTATATCCTTCCTGGTCTTTTCCCAGTATAAGTATATGCATATTTTCTCTGTAATTATAGCAATGAGATCAGATACACAATGTACATTCTAATTTACATTTTTAATCCATACATAACTATTGATATTTCCACATAACTAAATTTTCTGAAGTAATATTATTTCTAGTAGTGGAAACTTTAATTATGTGGATGGGCTTCAATTTATTTATGGGTTACTCATTGAAAGTTTTTCATTTTTGTAAAAATAGACAATATCCATGTAGCTAAAATTCACATGCACCCATAATCATTGCATTTGGATCAATGTTTTGCAAGTGTAGTTAAGTTAAAGAGAATACAACATTCTGCTTCTGTGTCACAGAAAGGCATGTTACATGTGCACATACTATATATAAAGAGTGTCCCAGTCCTTTGTAGGACCTGTTTAACCCGGGCAGAAAACACATTTCATCAGTTTAAAGATCGTCTATTCAGTGAATGGGACATGTTAAAAACTTTTATAAAATTTCCCTTTAAAATAAAGAATATTAATAATTAATTCAGTGAAAAATTATGAGATTGTGAGTAATTGATCCAAATAGTTTTGATGATTTCATTTTCTCTGCAAGATATGGGAAATAGAATCATACTGAAATTTTATTTTTCCTTTGATGAAGGAAGACTTTTAAAAGTAATTAATAAAAACCTATTGACTTTTAAAAATATTTTTAGTTTTTGTCTATTATCCTTCTTTTCAAGAGAAATTCAATTCAAAAGGTGACTTAAATTGAAAATATTTTTATCTATCTCTGATTTCCTGTGACATATTAAGTCATCATTTATGTGATGTGTGAAATGTTTCTTGAAATGAATCTATTCAATAAAAAGATTTAAGATGTTATTGGCAGAAAACTGGTTCCATTAAGATCGAGTTATCCAGTGTTGTATAATAAATTGCTATAGCTGACAACTTACAACAAAACAGGAATTAGCTCATACATTTTATGAGCATCATGACACCAAAGGCAGCGTACATAGGTGGTTAGTCTGGCCCAGGGTCTGTCATGAAGTTGCCAGGAAGCCTGATTCTCAGATCACTTTCATTGAGGCTACAAGATCTATGCTAAACTCACTCACGCAAGTACTGGCAGATGTTAGGACCTCACTAAGTGAAAATATTAGGACAAACGGAGCTTCCCAAAAATGGGAGATCCCAGAGAAAAAATGAAGGGGAGGAGCCTGAAAGTAAGAGAAGGGAAGAGAGGGAGCAAGGGGTTATTTATTTAGAGTAAATAGCATGGCTGCAAACATTTATCATAAGCTCTTAATCATAACAAAATAAATGATGTTAGCAGTACGTGTATCAGAACCTATCAATTTAACTGTCAGTTACCTTGTTTTAGCATTAGAATTACTTCATCTTCAAGAGGCTAAACTTAAATGGAATTTAATTTTTTCTAACTCTTTAACAAAATTCTTGTTTTTTATTGAGATTGTAAATCAAATTCCAATTATTTTAAGTAAAAGAAGAAACAATTATCATTTTTATGAAATGTTTAATCATTGTGTTGTGTGAGAATCCTTTCCTGCAATTACTTAGCTTTGATAATATTTTCTTTCTGTAAAGTTTTAACATGTTTTTTTTTTTTTCTTTTCCAGAGGTTTAAAATGAGAATTTCTTCAATAGTAGTTTCATATCAGTTGAGACCTAAGTTGGATTGATGCCCTATCATGGGGCGAAGGGTTCTGTAATGACTGTACTATAGCCTGTTTTGTTATGAATTTTCTTTTCATTTCTTAAAACAACAGAGACTTAACTAGCTGCATAACCTTTTCTTATTCTAGGTCTCCTAAAAACCCAGAACAGAAGATCATTAAGAGAGTGATTGCTCTTGAAGGAGATATTGTAAAGTGAGTACTTTAATCTGTTGTTTTTGAGCAAAACTGTAAATATCTATCTTTTCATTTAGTTTTAAATTATATTACTTGGGAGTTCATTTCAATTCAAAAGAATATCAAAGCTTCAGAGAACTTCCAAATTAATTGGTATATCTGTACCAAGCATCACAACCATTCCAAGGTATGAGGCATACTTGAACTTTTGATCACTTTTTTTTAATCATTTAACTGTAAAGCACCAAGAAATAAAAATTAAGTACATTTTGTAAAATGAGCAATTTTAAATCATTACTTTTTAGGGATTAAAATGAGCATGTTATTTTAGATTATGATGTCAAGAATCACTTTAGTTAAGTTTAGGAACATTTTATTTTATTAGAAGAAAACTAAGGATGAGCTTTTATAATGTAGGTACACCTCAGAGATTTGTACATTCATTTCAGACCACAATGCAGCAAATATTGCTGTAAAGCAAATCATGAGAATTTTGGGGTTCCCCTGTGCTTATAAAAGGTTTGTTTAGACTATGCTCTAGTCCATTTCGTGGGCATAGCACTGTTTCTACATATATAACGTGTGGACTGTGATTTAAAAAATAATTTATTATCGGAACTTTCAGCAAGTTTTTGTGGGGAGAGGGTTTTTTGATGCTGTTTATGAGTCAGGGTTTTTTGATGCTGTTTATGATAGCTACTGAAGATTGGGGTGACTGTAGCAACTTTTTAAAATAAGACAACAATGAAGATTGCCTCAAGGTTGACTCTTCCATAAATAGTATATAAATGCTGTCATATATAATGTTGTTGGATGGTATTTTGCTCACATTAGAACTTCTTTCACAATTGGAGTCAATCCTCTCATATTCTACCACTGCTTTAAACAGCTGGGCTAATGCAATACTCTAAAGCTATCACAGCATCCTCATCAAACTTAACTTTCAGCTAAAGAAGCCATTTATCCATTAAAAGCAACTCCTCACCTGTTCAGGTTCTAGCATGAGTTTGCTGCAATTTAGTCCCAATTTTAGGTCCCACTTCTGATTCTAGTTCTCTTGCTATATCTGTCACATCTGTACTTACTTCTACTGAAGTCTTGAACTTCTCAAAGTCATCCATGAGAGTTGGAATCAACTTCTTACAAACTCCCCTGAATACTGCTATTTTGACATCCTGTGAATCATGAATGTTCTTAATGGCATCCAGAGTGGTGAATTCTTTTCAGGAGGTTTTCAATTTGCCTTCCCTAGATCAGAAGAATCATTGTTAATAGTACTTACAATCTTATGGAATGTATTTCCAAGTAATAAGAAGTGAATGTCCAAATGGCTCTTTAAGCTATGAGCTGCAGACTGGATGTTGTGTTAGCAGACATAGAAATGATATTCATCTCCAGGGCAGCTCCAGCTGAGTTCTCCGTGACCAGGTTTATTGTTGAAGAGCAGTAGTATGTTGAAAAGAAGTCTCTCTTTCCCCCCTGAGCAATAGGTCTCAAAAGTGGGCTTCAAATCTCTAGTAAATCATCTTGTAAATCAGTGTCCTGTCATCCAGTTTTTGCTGTCCCACTTATAGAGCAGAGATAGGTTTAGCCATGCTTCCTAAGGGTCCGAAGACTTTCAGAATTGTAAATGAGCATTGATTCAGCTTAAAGTCACCACCTGCATTAACTACTAATAAAAGAGGCAGTCTGTTCTTTGAAACTTGGAAGCCAGGCATTGACATCTCTGCTCCAGCTATAAAGTACTGGACGGTTTCTTCTTCGAGAAGACTGCTTCATCTGTTGTTCAGTGCAGTGGCCTTTATCAGTGGTCTTAGCTAGATCTTGTGGAAAACAGTTCCTGTACGTGCTGTTTCTCCTTGTATCCGTACGTTACAGAGATGGCCTCTTTCCTTAAACCTTGTGAACCAACCTCTGCTACCTTTAGGCTTTTTTTCACCAACTTCATCACTTCTGACTTTATAGAATTGAAGAGAGTTAGACTCTTGCTCTGGATTCGGTTTTTGAATTAAAAGAACACTACAACTGCTGTGGTTCTCTGTCCAGACTCTTCATATCAGCAAAACGCCTGTTTCAGTTTCTTGTTTGTTCACTGGAGTAGTTCTTTTAATTTAAATTTGAATTTCATTCACAGTTTGGCTAGCTGATCAGCATAAGAGACCTAGCTTTTGGTCTATCTGGGCTTATGACCTGCCTTCACTAAGATGACTCATTCCTGGCTTTTGATTTTTTTTTTTTAAAGATTTATTTATTTGTGCATACAGAACTGGAATACAGGCCAGAGGCTTAGGGGCGGCTAGAGGCTTCACCAGTGACAGAGTGGGGAGCAGAACAGGCAGATAGAGGAAGTACACTGCTGAGGGAGCAGCGGGCGGGTCAGGAGAGGTCTGCCACGCCATGTGGTCACCTCCCGGGCAGGCGGGGATTGAACTCATGCGGAAACGGCTTTAGATTCCCAGTGCTGTGCCTTTACCCGCTGTGCCACCAGGGAGGGCCCCCTGGCTTTTGATTTTTAAAGTGAAAATCATGCAGCACTTTTTCTCACTTGAATACATTGAGGCTTTTGTAGATTATTCACTGGCCTATTTCAATGTTGTTGTCTCTCACTGAGTAGGGAGGCCTGAGAAGAGAGAGAGAGAGGTCTGATTGGTGGAGCAGCCAGAACTTACACTACATTTCTCAATCACCATTTTGTCTGAGTATGATTTGAGGTGCCCCAACAATTACATTAGTAACTTCAGCGATCATTGATCACATATGTAATTAAAAAATTACAAATATTGTGAGAATCATTAAAATGTGCTGTTGGCATGCTGTTGTCAACATGGTGCCAATCATTGTGATGAAGCAGGGTCACCACCAATTGTCAATCCCCCCAAAAAATGCAACATCTGCAAAGGACAATAAATTGAAGTGCAATAAAATCAAGCTCTATAAAAGGAGCTGTGCTTGTAATAGAGATGAGTGGAAATGGAAAGGCATGTGAAACAGAAGTTTTCAACTCAGTGATAAAATTTGTAGCTTTACAAAATACTATTGTAATAATCACGTGTTTTAACTATATATAATAAGGCCTTATTTAATCTACTTCTTTAAATTTATACCAACATTTGAAATTTAGCAAGTTGATGTGGTATAATGCATGTCACTTTGTTTGTTTACTTTAAAGGAGCTGTGGCTCGGTCTACACAAAGTGAGAGCTAAAATACTTTTGAGGATAGTTTTTAATTCTGTTTTCCCAAAAAGCTTAAACTGCGTGCACTAACGCTAGCACAGATTAAGCAATCTGACTAAAATGTACCTGTCAGATTTAGAGCACCTCCATTATGGAGCAATACTAAAAAATGAGAGGACCAAAGCTCAAGATATTCTTACTTACTCTGTAGCCTCTAAAAATTCTTTGAAAATTATTTAGAAAAAGATCATGTTTGTATTTTAAAATGAAATAAAGTATTAATTTCCTTTGGAACTAACAACTAAAGATCCTAGCTTTCCTGAGCTTTCAAAAAGTACTGGAATCTTGCTATCTCTGTCCACCTACCTGTTTCTACAGTAGTTTTCTACTGGAAAGCTTAAAAGTATTATTTACTATTATGCTTATATTTTTTCTCTGTGACCCATTTTTAAATATATTAAAATATATCTTAATTTTTAATTTTATTTTATTGTGTAACTGATAAAAATCTTTTTTTTTAATTATGGTAACATTTGACTTACAACAATGTTCGTGATTTTGAGGTATAAGATCACACTCTACAGAAGTACTTTCCCACGCTGCCCCCACTGCCTGTCCACCATTAAAAGCCACCTGTCCACTGATGCCTGACTCATAGTAGGCAAGTGCTTTAGTCTGTGATAGGCACTTTCCAGTTCCACCTTTGCCTTGATAATACAGATAAGCACAAATATAGATGACTCAGATTTTGGGAGTGAAGATTTTGATAATCATAAAATGGCCCTGACATCTGAGGGACTTTGTTATACTTACTGTAGGTTTTGAATTACTTATAATTAAAATATAGAGAGGGAACCATAATCTCCTTTCACGACTTAATTCAATTCTCGATTTAATGATCTATTAGTTAACCTCCTTCAGTGTACAAAACAAAACAAATAGATTTGTAGTAAGACATGGTTTAATGAACACTTATTTTGAACATAGCTTGGGATCTAAGGAGCAGCCCAGCCTCACTGAACAACAGAAATGGTCATGTAGCAGGACCTCTGGTTTCTATTTACTTGTGTATTCAGCCTACTGCACATTGCTTTTGCCTGTCTTGTCTGTGTTTCAGTTGACATGACCAACTGCTCAATTCCCTAGGTGCACCTCATGTTGAAAGTACCTGAGTTTACCCCGGTGAGGTCTACCTACCAGACAGGCTGCTGGTCAGCCAGTGGGTCAGATGCCTTTGGGACAGATGCCCGGTCTAGTCACTGTGGCTAAGGAGGCTAGGCACCTGGCTTAGACTCCACAGCCCTGTGAACCTACTGGATAGGGCTCTTATGGCAGATCCTGTGAGGACTCCCCAGTTTGGACATTGTGTTCAGTAGTCATTTGTTCAGCATTACTATTTGAAACCTAGTGTCAATAAAATTAAAATCTACTCCCCTAGATAATGGCTATGCCATTGCCCTTTAGGGAAGATAAACACTTACTTTAATTCCAGAAATAAAAAATTGTTGGAAAATTCAAAATATTATAATGAGCATCCTTGCATCTCTACCATTTTATACCATGTGTTCATTCTTGTAGAATAGATAGCTAGAAGTTTAAATATTGGGCCAGCACATGTTGTTGGTGTTATTTTTTGTTCTAATATATACAGTCAAATTTCCCCCATGCACTTTATGTACATTTATATTCCATTCATATTTATGTACATCTATACTCATTTAACAACACTGTGTGAAATACCTTTGTCAAGGAAAGAATCAAATACCTTGATTTTAATATAAAGTTCTGAAGTTTAGATACAGAAGTCAACATATTTCAAGCCAAATTTTAAAATTAGTATGAG